TTTTATTTTCATAAACACATTTATTTACTATCCAAGGGGATGATCCTAATTACGCCGACGCTCTGCAGTAGTTGCAAGTGAAATGTTTGTGATGAAGATAATTAAGCACAGTAATGAAAACAAAAAGGCATAGGGAGATTTGCTCATTGAAATGAGCTTGTTTGTCCTTACAGCTCATTCCTGTCCAGAAGGATGATGGAATTTTTACTCAGCTTTTCCACAGATCCGAGAACATGTGACATTGTTTGTGACACATCCCACCACGGATCTCCTGCCTCCCAATCTTCTCCTTATTGTGCTTTCCTTCCCATTCTGTTCCTGAGGTTGAATAAATGATGGATTTCAGAGACAGAGACGCACACAGAGAAACATCGATTTGTTCCACTTATGTGTGCAATCATTGGTTGATTCTTGTATGTGCCCTGGCTGGGATAGAACCTGAAACCTTGGAGTGTTAGGCACACTGTGGTTCTCGCCAAATGACCCGTGTGCGCTCGCCTTGCCTAACTGAGCATCCCTGGCCGCTGAACGCGGTAGGCTTCACGTGGGGAGAGGTGACAAACACCTTCCCCTCCCTCTTCCCACTTTTCCTCTCTTGGCTCTCTGCATGGCCCTATGAAGAAGGAAACCAAATTTGCACGGGAGGTGGTTTGGATGGGGAGACAGGCAGAGGGACTGAGAGAGGTGGGGACAGAAGGAAGAAGATAGAAGGGATCTCCCCAGGGAGGGGCAGTGGCTGGCAGGGAAGGGGAGGAGGGCAGTGCCTGGCCTTTGTTCAGGGCTTCCCAAGGGCCTGTGCTTTGGGCCGCTCGCCTGGATATGCACAGCCAGGACCACGACTTCCCATCCATTGTCAAGGCGATGCCAGGGCCAGGGGCTGGACTCACTACTAGTCGAGAAGTCAGGGTTACTTCTTGGCTGTGGGTAGGAGAGAGTCAGGGGTAGCTTTCCGGGTTGGACACACTTTGTCCAGCAGCTGCTCCCGGCCGGGCCAGGAACCACAGCCCAGGACACCGTGCTGGTCACCAGAGGACTTTTCCGCAGCCTGGGATGAGGTCACGGAGTGGGGAACAGGTGTGGAGGTGAGTGCAGGCTGCCTCCTGACAGCACTGGAAAGCCAGCCCAAAGCCATCCTTCCCTGTCCCTAGACTCCCTCCGACCAGCTCCTCTGCCCGCACTTGCTGAACGCCAGCTCCCAGATACTCCGATGTGTGGCCTTTGCCACAGTTCTGAGCCCCAGACTGTCTTCCTAGCAGCACAGCGTCCAGGGATGCAACATGCTGCCACCGTGCCATTCGTGTTGCTTCTTGCTCCCCTTAAGTTCAGAGGGGGGCTGCTTCTAGGCCTGTGTCCCCTTAAATGGGAGGCGAGTTCTCCCGCACTGAGATCTACCCAACCTTTGGGAAAGGCTCTTTCTCCTCCAGGTCAGACCCCAGAGAGGAGAGCCCTGGGCGGGCGACTCAGGGCAGCTTTCAGAGCTCGAATTCCCCAACAGCGAGTTCAGACGGGGATGGGTGGAGTGGGAGCGCGTGGCTGGATTTCTATCACATCAGGAAGAAACCAGTCTGGAAACTCTACGGCTATTAATAGAATAAAATTCTATAAAACTGCAGTGTCCCAGTGTGGAGAGCTGACAAACACCCTCCCTTCACTCTTCACTCCAGGGCACACCATTCAGGGCATACAATGGTTATTTTTATCTAAATTGTTTCCAGAACAAGAATAAGATTCAGATGTTAAATTAAACAACTGTTACTCTACTTAGTTTCATTTATGGTTAAAGGACAATAAGAGCTTACAATAGATCCAGAAAATATTATTACTGGGCTGATAAAAAAAAAGAAAAAGAAAAGAATGGTCTATAAATTAACGAGTAAAACTTGAATAAGAAATGTTTCTATTTTAACATGAAAAGGAAAGATATAAATGCTGGGTGGAGAGAAATCACAAGAGAGAATGACAAATCAGGAAATATAAAGCTAAAATGAAGAAAGATAGCAAAGGTGATTCAGCAAGTGACGAAGTCACATTGTGCAATGCCCAGCATTTGCAGGGGTTCCATGACACAGCACACTGAGGGCCACCCCCGCCCCCCGCTCCGCCCCCCAACTCTCTGGGATGGGAGGGTCATTTGGGTAGTCACAGTTATACTGTGAAAACAGGCCCCCTGCCCTTCCTTCCACCTTTCCTTTCTTCTTCCCTCCCTCCCTCCCTCCCTCCCTTCCTTCCTTCCTTCCTTCCTCCCATCAACACTAACTATGGCTTTTGGCCATACAGCAGCTAACATGGATTTACCGTCTAGTAGACAGGCAGACATCGAACAAGCAAACCAAAAAAACACACTAATAAATTCACGTATGCAAAAGGAGATTGCGTGCTGGGAAGACATACAAGGTGCTATGCAAGAGACTGACAGAGTGGGTTTCCTTTGGGGGCTCAGGGACAGTGATAATGAAGCTGGGTCGCAAGCTGAGGTCACCATCCAGGTGGAGCTGGAGGGGCGACGGCCCTGGCAGAGGGGACGGCAGGGCAAAGGCAAGCGGGGCATGTGTAGGAGCTGGAAGAAGGCCAGTGTGGCTGGAGCTGCGGGTCAGGAAAGACGGACGCAGGAGGAGCCCAGGGAGCGAGGCAGGGGCAGGTGGCCACGCGTGGGTTGAATTTGAGAAATCACTTCAGGGTTTTTTTTAAGCAGGGGAGGGACATGAATAGATTTGCATTTTTTTTTTAAATCACTGTGGCTGCTGAGGGGACAGTGGATGTGGGGTGACAGGTAGGAGGCTGCTGTGGTACTAGGTTGCCCTGCAGGGGTGGGGTGGGGTGGGGGTCTCTGGTAGGGCAGGGGCAGTGGGGGAGGTGGAGCACCTCTCTTCTCCCACAGGCCCAGGACTCTGAACTTGAGATCTAGTGGCAGTGCTGGGTGAGGAAGTGGAGGTGCCCCAGGTGGCCTCTAGGTTTCGGGCAGAGCAGCCAGGAGAAGGATGGAGGCTCCCCTCTCTGAGGTGGGGGCACCCTCTCCTTTGTGTGTCTGAAACTCTCCTGTTCTACCATGAAGGGGAGTTAGCCCTGGCCTGAGAGAGAGAGAGAGAGAGAAAGAGAGAGAGAGAGAGAGAGAGAGAGAGAGAGAGAGAGAGAGAGAGAGAGAGAGAGGCAGCGAGGCAGAGAGAGAGAGAGAGAGAGAGAGAGAGAGAGAGAGAGAGAGAGAGGCAGCGAGGCTCCCAAGGCCACTCAGCCAGTTGGCAGAGTTGGGACTGCAACCCAGGGGCTCCGCCTGTGCCAGGTGCCACCACTGGGTGGTGCTCATCGGTGCTCATCTGTTGCTTCTCTCTAGAGCTGGGGTCAGGATCCTGAGGTCTCAGGACACCCCCTGCTGGCATGCCCTGCACAGGCTGTGCCTCCCTCCTGGACAGGTGGCCCCAGCCCCGCCTGCAGGGTAGCCCTCCTGCGTGCTGACCCCTCTCCGTCCAGCCAGGGCCGCTGGAACAGTGCCAGGGAGGCCCCCCACACCAGCCTGGAGCCAGGGGCCGTGTCCACGGGCACCCCTCCCTTCCTCCTGCTCTGTTTCTCCTTCCTCCAGCTTCTCTTCTCCTCAGCCTCCAGCTTCTCTTCCTGCCTCCCTCTTCCCTCTTCCTTCACATATCGTGGTCACCGTGACATCCCATACCAGGAGAGTGGACAGCGCCCCTGTTCACGGCGGGCCCTCCACGGCCGGCCATTACATCGGACTGTTTGTCCTCTGTGGCCCCACCGTTCTACATTTCCCCTGGACTTGCCCCTCATCCTCACGGCCCAGACCCTTCTCCCCACCCCCCTGCCCACCTGCACGCTGCCCCCTGCTGTCTATCCTGTCGGAGTAAACTGGCGGCATCCGTCCCCTCCCTCCATCTTTCTGGGTCAGGTCCTCCATCATCTCATCAGAATTGTTGCAGGACCTCTGACCTCCCTCCAACAGACAGCCTCTTCCTCCTCCAGTCAATTTCACAAATTTTTCCAGCTCGGAAATCTTCAGAGGCTGCCCACAGCGTGCTGGAGGAAACGCAGGCTCTCCAGCCTGGCCCCGGAGGCCAACCTTTTCTCAGCTCTCCCCATCCTGCTCCTCACACCAGCACCCATCTCTCCCTAGCAGGTTTTCACTGAAACCTTGCTCTCTCTCTCTCTCTCTCTCTCTCTCTCTCTCTCTCTTTCTCTCTCCCTCTTTCTCCCTTCTCTCTCTTTCCCACTCTCTCTCTCTCTCTCTCTCTCTCTCTCTCTCTCTCTCTCTCTCTCTCCCAGGTCCAGAAGTTCAAACCCTCCCACATGCCTCCTCGTCCTCACCCCACCCAGCCTGGAAGAGTCTCCCTCCTGGCACCCCGCAGCACCCCTCGAGCACCCACCATGGCTCACCGCACCCATCCTTGTTTGTGCTGCTGCTATTGGCAGAGGCGGTCCAGGAGGGAGATCAGGGTCCCTGAGGATGCTGGTGAGCTCAGTGCAAGGTGGGGTCTAGTCTGAGGGGCTCCACGTGTCCAGGGGGCCATGCCTACACTTCCCTTCTAAACCGAAAGCTCCTGGAGGGAAGTGTCTATGTGGGCTCGTCTCAGGGCTTGGCATGTGGTGGGCACTCAGCTGACGTCTGCCAAGTGAGCAACTGCGGGGCAAATGCGTGGCCCAGAGGGACAGGCTGCAGGAATTAAGGAATTCCATGGAGGTGAAACTGATGGAGATTGAGCAGGGAGGGGTTCCGACAGGGCAAGGGAGGAGGATGATGATGATGATGAAGATGGGCTAGGAGAAGAGAGAACCCTGGAGGAGGGAGGAACAGCCTTCTTGGACCAGCAGAGGGTCTGGGGTTGGGCTTGGATGAGTGAGAGTGTTGGGTCTGGTGGAGTTGGTCTGTCTGGGCAGACAGTATGCCAGGCAAACGAGCTGGGAGGGGGCAGGAGCAGAGAGATCCCCAGCTTCCCTGCCCTGTACCCCACCAGCTCAGAGGTGCTAGCTGGGTCCCTCATTCCTCCCCTCAGCAGGGGAGGCCCCTGAGGAACCGGCCCACTGAGCTGCAAAAGGAAGAGGACCTCTTCTCATGCACCATCTCATAGTTTTATGCTGAAGGTGAGCATCTCAGCAAAGCACCCAGATTCAAGCCAGAGGGCAGGGAACCAGGGCCACAGCAGCGGGCCGATCCTGGTGAAGGAGGGGCCGTTAGAGGCAGAGCCTGGACAGGCTGGGATCAACGGGGTTGGGAGTGGGAGTCACAGTTGACTTGGAGGAGATCAGGAAGGGCTGAGGCAGAGGGAGGGACACAAGGACTGCACCTGGTTGCGCTGGCCCTGGAGGTTGGGAGATGCTGACCTCAAAGGAGTGAAGGAGCAGCCAGTGGGGAGGAGGACCAAAGGGAGCCCACATTTCTGGGCTGAGGGAAGAAGGCATTTCCAGGAGCACAAGGTGGCCATCTGTGGCCAAGGCTTTGATAGGTCCAGTGACATGAGCTTTAAAAATCAACCATGGGTCCCGTCCGGCACGGCTCCATGGACAGAGCGTCGTCCATCCTATGTGCCAAAGGGTCAACTGCCAGTCAGGGCACCTGCCCAGGCTGCAGGCTAAATGCCCCTGGTGGGTCAATGTTTCTCTCTCACACTGATGTGATGTTCCTCTCCCTCTCCCTTCCTCTCTCACTAAAAATCAATTTTAAAAAACTCTTTTAGATCAACCATTGGACTCAGCAGCGTGGACATCATGGTGACCTTGACAGGAATGGTCTTCGGGACCAAAGTGACTGCGGGAGATTCAGGAGAGAGTGGGACAGAGGTAAGTGGGAGAGTAAACACACTCGGTTTTGCCTGTAAGACAGGCAGCCGCTAGAGCCTGTCTAGCTTTGTGGCCAGGGGAGGGCTTTTGTCAGGGTGGGGTGACCTGGGAGGGGAAGGGAGGGCTGGCCACTTGGGAGAGGATGGGTGCTTGCTGGCTCCTGTCCATGAGGAGGCCAGAGGGGTTGGGATCCAGGCCCAGAGGAAGGTGGGCCTCGGATCAGAGCAGGACAGTTCACTGTGGACCAGAAGGGGGAGGATCAGGGGTACATGTGGGTGTCGGTGGGTAGACTTGGCAGCAGGAACAGGTGATGTTTCCATTTGATCCAGACACTGGGTAGATGCCCATGTGAGAGATGAAGAAGCTGAGGTTCAGAGAGGTCCAGCGCCCACTGTTGGCTACCGGAACTAGAACTTGGCCTGAGGTTAGAAGGCAACAGAAACTCCCTTAGACGGAGAGTGGGAGAAGGCAAGAAACTGGGAGGGACAGAGGGGCCCTCAGCCATCCTCTAGAGCAGTGGTTGGCAAACTCATTAGTCAGCAGAGCCAAATATCAACAGTACGATTGAAATTTCTTTTGAGAGCCACATATTTAAAACTTAAACTATATAAGTTTTATATAATAACAATGTACCTACTGTGTTTCCCCGAAAATAAGACATCCTCTGAAAATAAGACCTAGTGCAACTTTGGGAGAAAAAATATAAGACACTGTCTTATTTTCGGGGAAACGGGGTACCTATATAAACTATATAAGTAGGCACATTGTTGTTAACTTCATTAGGCCTCCTAAGCTGGCCTTTGCTAAAAACTCAAGGGGCCAAAGAGCCGCAGGTGGCTCGCGAGACGCAGTTTGCCGACCACTGAATGAGGTTGCCGGGCTCCCTCCCCTGGAAGAAAGGTGCTCGTTATCACTTACTCCATGGAGTCTGTGGGTCCCAGGAGGCAGCTGGCTTGCAGGGGGCACTTGACGAATGCAGAGGTAGAGTGGGAGCCTTGGCAAAGGAGGCTCCGGTGATGCCACAGAGAGGGCAGTGGTTGGGCAGTGGGGTGTAGGGGGCCTGTGAAGCAGGAAGGGCCCTGACGGCACTCATCAGCCCTGCATGGCTCAGCTCAAACTCATCAAGTGTAACTCCCCAGCCCCGTCAGTGCTGTCAGAGCTGGCTCTGGCTGGCCTAGGCCGTGGCCAGAGAACAGGGGCAGGAGGGGCAGTGGGACTAGAACCCCCGAAGATCCTGAGGGAGTCCTGCCAGTGGGGGACCCCCACAGCCTCAGAGCTCAGAGGTGGCCACAGGCGGTTCTCCACTCCCGTGAAGTCTCTGAAAACAGCGGTCCCGTCCTCCTGAGGCAGCTGCCTGTCCCCTGGAGTCACCACCAGGTACCGAGTCCCCGGGCCAGGGGCTGACCATCTAGAGAGGGGAGGGCCTCCTTCTCTTCCTCCCGAAAGAGCAGGCTCAGTGCCCTCCAGGAGGAGGCAGCATGGATGTCTGCCCAGCATGGGCACCCTCAGCGCCTCGCCACCCCATGCACTCCAATGAAGCCTGCCCGTAGCCACACTCTCAGCTATGGCCACCGACCCCTCATTCTGGCCTCTTCCCTGGACCAGCCTGGGGAGCGGGGCCAGTGCCTCCAGGAAGCACCTGCTGACCAGCCCTTGTTGGGAGTGGGAAGTGGGGAGGGGGCGGGCCAAATCTCTCCAGCAGGGCCCAGATACCTCACTGCTCATTCAGGAAAAGCACTGAACAAACCGCCCATCCTGAGCTCCACACTGGACGGCGGGCGGGGCCACCCATTCCGCACGCTGCCCGCTCTGCCACTGCGCTTCTCTGGGCTGCGGCCTCCGGAGGGCCCTCCAGGTCAGGCAGGGAAGACCCGGGCCAGGCTGGTCAAGGACCCCTGGGAAGCTCTGCCGACCTTCCTCATATGGAAGCAAGCCCCTGAGACGCGGAGGCTTAGCTGTCACCTTTGTGAAGTGGCTCCTTTGGCACAGGGAGGCTTCATCAGGCTAAGCCCAGCCCTGCCCTTGACCCCTGCCTTCACCGTAACAATGGCATCTACTGAAAGCAGAGGGCATTGTCACATCAGACAAGAAGCCCTCACCTGCAAGTTCAAAGGTGTCTGTCTCCCGAGTTCTCATCCAACAGTGACATCTTCTCGAGGCTCTTGGTGTTTTGTGTTGTTTTTGTTGTGTTGTTTTTTTAAATATATTTTATTGATTTTTACAGAGAGGAAGGAAGAGGGATAGAGAGTTAGAAACATCGATGAGAGAGAAACATCAATCAGCTGCCTCCTGCACACCTCCTACTGGGGATGTGCCCACAACCAAGGTACATGCCCTTGACCAGAATCGAACCTGGGACCCTCCAGTCAGCAGGCTGATGCTCTATCCACTGAAGCAAACCAGCTAGGGCAGTTTTGTGACTGTGGGAGAGCCTCCAGTGGGACAAGGATGGTGCTTAGGTCCCTGTGGGCCTGCCCTGCCCAGCAAGCACAAAAACTTCATGCGGCACCACCCCCCACTGTGTGCGTGCGTGCGCGCGGGCCAGTCTACCTGACTGGGTCCCAAGCAGAGCAGGAGACTGAGATTCTCCGGTCAGAGCCATGGACCCTGAGGGGGAGCCGGGCAGATTCCATCAGCGCCCTGCCTGGGAGTGCACGACAGTCCCCCAGCTCCGCCTGCTCCCCTACAAAATGGACCAGGTGAGAAGCTCCCTGGAATGCTGGGTGGCTGGAGGGAGGGTTTCACTGGGTTCCTGCTGCCTCCCTGCTTCCTGGGACTCTCCCCCACCCCCTTCTCTCCTCTCCAGGTCCTGCTCCTGCAAGCCACCCCAGGGGCTCACCTCCCGCCCACCCACAAAGTGCTGCCTCCTTTGGGTCTTTTTGCGGTCTGGGCTTGCTGTTCCTCTCAACGCAGTCAGGAAGCCCTTACCCCAAAAAGTATCTTCGGGAGGCCCGGTCTGCAGGGGCGACGCCTCGAGGGCTCCAGGTGAGTGACACCCCTCACCCAGGGACGAGGAGTGGTGCCCTCAGCCTGGCCTTCCCTCCCACTTGGACTTGAGGGTGGGGAAGGGGGGAGAAGGGGAGGGAGGAGGGGATACAGACTGGGGGGACAGATGGATGCTGATGGAGCCCAGCAGCTGTGCCCACGAGAAGACTGTGAGCTGTGCCGCCTGCGTCCCCTGAATCGCCTGGACCTCCAACGGCCTCCTTCACCTTGTGAACCGCCCAGTCCTCCGAATAAAATCCTGGGTGGCTTGAGTGACGCAGAGCCTGTGCTGCCCTTGCCTCGAGTACGGAGCCCCCTAGCGAGAGGGGATGGACTTGCGCACCCTGGGGAGGGGGTGTGGCCTGGGGGAAGCTGAGGTACCATGGGGGGGGGGGGGAGGGCCCACTCAGTGTTAGCCCCCAGGTTCAGGGGCAGAGCAGAGATCGGAGGGCACATACAAGGCTTGTGTTGGGCCCCAGGAAATGCTCCCTGAGGTGAGAACAACGTGGGGGCGAAGGACAGAGAAGGACCAAGGTAATATGAAGAAATCTGGGGTGACAGGGCCCTCCTTTTCTGAAGGGGGAAGAGGTGGGCTCTGAGAGCTGCAGGCGGTAGATTGACTGCCCCCTGGGACTGATGCCCAGAGCCTGGGGGTGGCTCTCATTTGCCAGGTCACAGCCTGCAGCACACGGGCAGCAGGAAGGCCCCAGCCCCATGCAGAAGACCCTGGTGTGCGGTCCACGTGGAATTCACGGGTGCTGGAGCATCTTGTGTGTGTGGGGGGGGGGGGGGTCAGGAAGGAGGGTGGAAGCAATTACTGAGCCCCCACCTGAACGCGGCCAGACAGACACAGCCAGAGAGGCAAGATGGTGATAGACAAAGTCTGAGGGGCTGATGAGTGCCCGTGGCCATGGCAGCTCTTGCCCCTGCAGCTACCCTGACCTCCCGGAAGCAGGTTTTGCTGGCCGCCTGGGCGCCCTCAGGCAGGTCAGGGGGAAAGTATGATATATTCTACTCCAGGGTGGCATCGTGTGGTCAAACGGGGTAGTGCACCCCACAGTCTCCAGAGAACTCCATCCATAGGTCTAACTAGGAGTGCTGAATCCGACCCAGCAGGGCCTAAGGCGGTGGAGGGGAGAGAGGGAGCTCCAGGGCGAGATGGAGGGGAGGGAGAGGCGCTGTAGGGAAACGGCCCCTCAGTGAGGGTGTCTAAGCCCAGGCCACTCTCCTGGGACCAGACCTTTCAGAGTGAGGCTCTAGGTCCCAGTCCCAGGCATTGGGCTGACCCTCACCCTTCACTTGAGCCCCTGAAGCAGCTGCTGGACTCCCTGCCACTCTGGGGACTTATTCCCGGGAAAAGAAGGGAACGAGGGAGGGGGCATCACCCAGGAAGGGCTCCCGTGTCCCATGTTCATAGATAGACCCTGACCTTCAGAATCAATCAGGCCCCAGTCAGGTCTCAGGTCCCCCCTGCGTCATCGGTGTGAGCTTGGGAACGTCCTCAGCACCCTCATCTGTAAAATGGGGTGATAATGTCCACCTTGTAGGGATGTGGAGAGGTCACTACCACAGAAAGGAAGGTCCCTGACTCCGAGTCCAGGGACGTCTGCCCTGGGAGGTACCTGCTTGGCTGCCTGTGTGGCTGTGAGGTACCTGTGTGGCTGTGTCTTTCTGCACATGTGTGTGTGTGCCATTTGGCAGAGCTGTTTGACTGAACCCAGCCATAACCCCTACTGGCCCCCCAAACAGACAAGGCTCTGGGAGCAAGAGGGGATGCGGGGAGGGGCACAGCCAGAGTGGCAGGGAGGAAGGGGAGAGGAGGGTGGTACAGACGCAAAGGGAAGTCCAGGAAGGAAGGAAAGACAGGGAGGGTGAACGGCAAAGTGGGAAGCTTGGGGGGGGGGGGGTATGTTGTATGTTGCCCTCTGGCTGTTGAAGGTGCCCAGCCCAGCAGCACCTGGGCAAGGTGTCCCTTCTGACCCAGGGGGACCGAGCTGATGGCGTGTTCTCGCACCATCTCTCTCCTTCCCTGGGCCCTGGCTCCTGCGTCTGTAAAACAAGAGGAATGTGTTGGATTCCTCCTCCCAGCTCCATTTCCGCCCCTGCCCTCGCCGCCTCTTTGAGGATGTGAGCTGAGAGCAGACAAGGGGGAGGCAGGCTGAGGCGGGGGTAGCGGGCTCTGGGCGGAAGGAACCAGAGAAATTACCAGCAATGAAAACTACAGGTTTCCCCAAAGTACAATCTGGATGGAAACGCCAAACGCACCTGGAGTTATTGCACCCTGGAATGCTAACAACACATTATCCCCTACGTCAGCGTGGTGACGTCACCACGTCACCAGCGTGTATGGCATCCTGAGTGCATCCTGCCACCCTGAGTGCATCCTGCCTTCCTCACGGGTGTCGCTCCCTCCCCAGCGGAGCCTACAGAGCCTTCCCAGTCCTTCCGGAGGCGGCCTGGCCCGGCCAGGCCTGGGGGAGCGGCCGTGGGAGGCCCAAAGCACCCCAGAAGGAAGCTGTCATATCCCCAGGAGGGGAGTGAGCAGTCATCATTTGGTTCTTTCATTAATGCCTAATCTGGGTGCAAACTAAGTCCCGTGGAAGCTGCTGAGCCTCTCTGTTCCGGGGCCTCCCCCCTTCCTGTCCTGCTCTCATTTCTCCTTTCCTGTCTTCTTCCCTTGTCCCTTCCCCACGGTGTGTGCCTTGTTCTGCTCGGCACACTTCAGACACGGTTCTTCCCTTAGAGAGACCGCTGTCAGTGTGTGCCCCTCTGTCTGGCCGTGCTCCTTCGTGGAGGGGCTGCGGAGGGGGCAGAGGGAGACAGGTGGCAGCAGCACGGCGGGTGGTCTGTGGCCAGGGGGCGTTCAGGAGAGGAGGCAGGACATCCAGGCCAGCACAGCACCCCAGGGTGGACCCTGGGCCCGCCCCTCGGTCACAAAGCTGCAGGAAATCTCCCACTGGGGGTGTCCTTTGAAGGAGGTGGGAGGTTTAAGATCAAGGGTGTAGGGTCATTCACACAGTCCGGGAATCCCTTCCCAACACCCAGCTTCCCAGGACCCTGGATCTGGAAATGTGGTCCCTGGACCAGCAGCAGCAGAGTCACGAGGGTGTCGTTACAAATGCACATTCTCAGGTCTCAGGGCCCAGTGCACCCTCCCCCCAACTCCGCATGTAGTGACAGTCAGGTTGGGGGCCTGACATCAGCCCTGGAGGGGATAGTTACACCATGGAAATGGCAAACACTACAAATCAGTACTTATTTTTCTTCTGGAGAACACTTTCCAGCACAGCCCTAGGCCGCCTCCAGAGGGGCAAGGGGAGCCCGACAGTCTGTGATGCCCACGCACACTCCGGTTTAAGGACTGCAGTTCTGGTGGGTCAGCACCCATGGAATCATGGGAAAGGCCTGTAGAGTTCGGATAGATAGAAAGG